CTCCAGCCTGGGGGATAAAGCGAGACTTATCTCAAAAAAAAAAAAAAAAAAGTCAGCGCTGACTCTTAGAAAAGCCCACTGGCTGCAATGTGGAGCATGCAGCAGAGGGGATGGTGAGCACAGGCAGGAGGATAGGTGAGGTGTCTCCTGCAGAGGTGCATGTGAGAAGTCCTAGTCATCCAGGCTAAGATAACAGCAGTGAGGAGTGAAAGCAGGAACCAGAGCGCTCACATTCTTCCATTTTCTTGCTGGAGCCCTCAGCCCTCTGCTCTGAACCAGTATCAGAGCTTACGACAAGCAACTGATCTGGTAGGGGAGGAAAAGGATAAGAGAGGCATCACTAAGGAGCAGTGTGTGGAAAGACCACAGGGCAAAAAGGGCTTGACACGTTGAAACAACCACAGCCAGGCCGGTAGCAGCAGTATAGTGGGTAAGGGCAGAGGAGGAAGTACAGGCATTGAGATTTGATCCTAAGAGTCATGGGGACCATCAAAACCTTGTTTCAGAAACCATTTTATTCATTAATATTGCAGTATATAGCTCCAAAACTTTACAAATGTTTCAATAAAAATATAACTACAAGCTGGGTGCAGTGGATCATGCCTGTAATCCCAGCAATTTGGGAGGTCAAGGTAGGCAGATTGCTTGAGGCCAGGAGTTCAAGACCAGCCTGGGCAACATGATGAAACCCATCTCCACTAAAAATACAAAAATTAGCCAGGTGTGGTGGCACATGCCTGTAGTCCCAGATACTAAGGGGGCTGAGGTGGAGGATCACTTGAGCCCAGGAGGTGGAGGCTGCAGTGAGCCAGGATCGTGCCACTGCATTCTAGCCTGGGAGACAAAGGAGACCTTGTCTCAAAAAAGAAAAGTAACTACAATATCATTATTATTACACCTAAAAAATCAATAGTAATTCTGTCTTGCTGTTATTGAATATCCGTGTTCAAACTTCCAATTGCTTATAAAAATATTTATTTTGCACTTCAAAGAAATCAGGATCTAAATGAGATCTAAACATTGTGATTTATTTTATTTTATTTTTGAGACAGAACACATTTTGTGCCCAGGTTGGAGTGTGCAGTGGTGCAATCTTGGTTCACTGCAATCTCTGTCTTGGTTCATTGCAACCTCTGCTCCCCAGGTTCAAGCAATTCTTGTGCCTCAGCCACCTGAGTAGGTGGGATTACAGGTATATGCCATGACACCTGGTTAATTTTTTGTATTTTGAGTAGAGACAGGGTTTCATTATGTTGCTCAGGCTGGTCTCAAAGTCCTGGCCTCAGCGATCTGACCGTCTAACCTCCCAAAGTGGTGGGATTACAGCCATAAGCCACCACACCCAGCCTTGATTTTATCTTTTATAACTCTTTTAACCCAAAGATTCCCCTTCTGTTTCTTTTTTTTTCTTAAAAATCAATTTAATTGAGGTATAATTTTTTCCAGGAATGCAAGGTTGGTTCAACACCTGACAGCCAATCACTGTAATTCACCACATTTATAAAATAAAGGAGAAAATCATATGATCATTTCAATAGGTGTGGAAATAGCATTTGACAAAATTTAGTACCTATTTTTCTAAAAATCTTTCAATAAATTAGGAAGAAAAGTGAACTTCTTCTGACAAAAAAAAAAAAAAATCTATGAAAAACCTACAGCTAACATTGTACGTAATGGTGAAAGACTGAATGAATGCCTGGGCCTTCTGCAGCTCCCAGAGCTGCATGTACTCCCAAAATATGTATAACTAAGCTATATCAGTGAAAAATAAAAAAAATAAAAAAATAAAAAAGAAATTGAGGACTTTTATACCACCTATCAAAGATGTCTCAACCTACCAGGTCTTCCTCTCCACTGAATGGAAGACTTAGGCCTTTGCCTGGGCACAGGCCTCCACCTGACCAGTCATCCAAAGTATCCAATAAAATATTCATCTCAGAGCTGGGCCCTGGAGTACCCGTAGCTGTGACCCCAAGAACTCTATCTCTTAAAACAGACAAACAAACAAACAAAAACCTTTCCAGCTGTTGGGGAGGAAATGTAGGAGGGGCAACTAGGGGAAGCGGGGGAACCAGCAAAGAGACTTAAGAAAGAAATTATAAGGGTCTGAGTAAGAGAAGATGGTGGCCCTGTGTGGAGGAAGTGGAGGTGGAGAGAAAGGGGCAGACTTGATATATTTGGAAGATATGAATGTTGTTGGGCACGGTGGCTCACATCTGTAATCCTAGCACTTTGCGGGGCTGCGGTGGGTGGATCACCTGAGGTCAGGAGTTCAAGACCAGCCTGGCTAACATGGTGAAACCCATCTCTACTTAAAATACAAAATTTAGCCTGGTGTGGTGGCAGGCCTGTAGTCCCAGCTATTCAGGAGGCTGAGGCAGGAGAATTGCTTGAACCTGGGAGGCAGAGGCTGCAGTGATGGTGCCACTGTACTCCAGCCTGGGTGACAGAGCAAGACTTCAAATTTAAAAAATTTAAAAAAAGAAGAAAGTCTGAGTGCCTCAGATCCCAGTGCCTTTGTTTCTCCACCTGCTCAGGCCTAGGTGCTGCTTTGTTTTCAGGAATGCCACCAAGATCGCTTACCTAGAAGGTGCAAAGACTTCTGGAGGACCCCTGACCTGGGTGTGGGCAGGGGGTAGGATGAAAGACAAAGGCCATGGTGCCCCAGTCTCAGGTGGGGGAATCCCTTTGGGCCACGCCCCACCTTGGCCCCCAGAACTGCTCTACAGGGTGAGGGCCAGGGCAGGATTGAAGGTCCACCTGGCCGATGGAGGGGTCCAGGCAGAATACAGCTCATTCAGAAGCTGGCCAGTCCTCCCTCACCTTGGTCTCTGCCTCTGGGCAACCACTCACCCTGCTGTTGGTGGTAGGAGGGTGGTGGCGGGGGAGGGTTGCTGCTGGCAGTTTGGGCCCCTGTTTTCTTCTCAGGAGAGCTGTGACCTCACTGCCCCTCATGTCACTGGTGCCTGTGCGTTAGGAAGGGTCTGTCCCCTAGGCTGGAACAATTTCTGAGGCAGGGAGTAAAGGTCCCAGCAGCCTGTGACCCTGGGACTGTGACTTCAGTTCAGCTCAGACTGGAGCTAGAGCAGAGGGTTTGGGCCAGAGCTTCAGACACTGGATTGTGGCTCCACTCTGCCACTCACATGCTGTGTGGACTTGTGAAAGATACATCATCTCTCTGTGCGTCAGGTTTCTGCCCATACCATGGGAATAACAATCACAGGTACTTCATACAGGGTAATCGTGAAGATGAAAACAGAATGCTTGCTCTCTCCAGGGAGCCCTCCCAATGAGAAAACAGGCACAGTGGGGAGTGACCACCCCAAGGCCACACAGCTGCTGCAAGGATGTCATTTTGTGGGCATTCCTCACTTGCCTCCTGCTAGTGTGGAAGGCCCAGAGACTCCAGGAGGCCCCCAGCTGGTCCTGTGAGAGGGCCAAGGGGGGCCAGCTGTGATACCGGCTCCTAGCTGGAAGGGGCCTCAAGCCATCTATGTACACCCAGCCCCACGTAGCTCACCGGGGGCCCCTTTGCCGTCAAGGGCCACATCCCAGGTTTAGGTGCCAGAGAACTAAGGGGCTTAAGAGAGAATAGAGCTGTGGCTTTGTTTGTGAATTGGTTTGATCCTTTTCTCCTTCTCGAAGTACTCGCAGCTATTGTTGCTGGCCACGGGCTTGAGGTGGTGGTGGGGGCTGGCTGGCAGAGGGGCTAAGAGTGAATGGTGGTTAAAAGGAGTGCTGACTCCAGGGTAGCAGCTGGGCAAGGCTTGGGGCTCCCACCTCCCCCAGGTTCAGAGCCGGCTGAGGACCAGGAGTCCTCCCCTCTGGGGTCAGGGCTCACTATGGAACAACTGCCTTGGATGGAGTCCCAGGACCTGCTGTTTTA